TTTTAGATATTTTCTGGCGCTTAGTTTTGCAGGCGCTTTTGGGTTTTCTATTTTTTTTTAAATTTAAACTGCTATGTTAAATCATAAACATAAATAACAGGAAAAAACTGAAGAAATAAGGAAAAAAAAAAGGCACTACTTTTGTTGGGTTTAAACTTTGATGTTACAAATATAATACGAGTAATTTCTATGTAAATTGAACTTTTGATAGCTTGGTTTGATGCTTGAATGATTTAACTTATTAAAGCAGAAATCATGAGATTAAAGGACAAAAAAATGATTGAGGATGATGGATGGTCAAATCTTGGCAAGCCTTATGTAGGGAAGAGATCTACAACGTTGTGGGTGTGGGTGATTAAGAAAGATGGTGTAAGATAGAGGGCAAAGCGGTTGACAAATGTGTGGTTGATGAGAGGTCTATATTAATGTGCTGTTAAAGAGATAAGTGCCGTGGCTAAGAATCTAAGTTGCCGGGTAAAACAGTTGACACATAAATGCAGTGCTTTGGTAGTTAAACAAAAATTCACTTTTGTGCTGATTTTGATTAATAAATTTTTGGAGCGTGTCATTGTCAATCAATATATATATATATATATGCTAATATTATTGAATTATTGAATAATATAATAGAGGGGAGAGCCATAACAGTAAGCAATCAGTGATTTTTCTTTGAATGCTAATACTATTGATGTGTGCTAGAAAATTAGCGGTGGTAGAGTAATGAATTATTATTTTAGCGCTGCATGATAATTCAACATACAATTAGATAAAAAAAAATAATTAGTAGTGACAATAGAAGTTTTTACATGAAAAATCCGTAAAATGAAAAAACAGCGGGGCATAGCTTAGCTGAATGAATCCAATATAAATTGGATATTATATGGTACAGTCTCTCGTCCCACAGGTGGAAAAGGGTTGAACGCCCTCCGGAGTTATAACGTCGGTGCACGAATAAACCAATTGTAAGAAGTGGGTGGCGGTCGATGGTGATCGGTCGTGGGCCACGGTGGGTGACAGTGATCGATTACGGGTAAACGGTGGTCAACTGCGGTCGATGGTGGTTGATGACGTTGGAGATGATCGACGGTGATTGGATTGATGCTGGTTTCGGCTCCCTAAAAAGTCAAGTTTTTTAGGCTTTAAGCTCTCCCCCTTTCTCAAGAGAGGGGTGGGGCTTTATTTTATAGTGTTCTGGGTGAAATAATTATAGGAATATGAATCACTTTGATCGGACAGTCCGAAGAGTTTCTTTTGATCAAAAGAAGCCTGATGAACATTTGAGTGCATGAGTGATGTCAAAATTGAGCAATATTGGGCTCGTTAGATTCATCTTGTCGAGATGCTCGATTCAATTATAGGCTTGCTAGATTTGACATTCATTTAATCTTTTAAATATGTCCAGAAAACTTTCAAGAATAGTTTAGTGACTTGATTTGAGCTTATTGACTCAGGTTAGACTAATTGGTCCTTTTTTTTTACCCGATTAGTTTGACTGTAAGTTTGCTGAAATTGGAGTTATGAATGAGTTTTTATCGAGGTTTACATATTTCTTACTCAAAAAATCATCTCGAGATCTATGTCATGTTTTGTGATTCATTTCGGATTATGAAAATTTGCGGGAGATGTATCAATTATTTTGGCCATTAACTTTTAGATGTTGAGACTGCACTTCAGTTGCCATATTTATAAATATAATTATATATATACATATATATATTTATATAGATTTTAAATGTCAAAGCCTAAGCGGACTTGAATTATCTTGTTCTAGAAGATTAATGCTAAATCCTTCCATGCTTATCTTCCGTGCAACGGTGCAAGCCAAGCCCAGACATAGCGTTTTCTTGGCCCAAAAGCCCGACTTGTCACTCCAAACCCGCTTATGTCTCAAATGCCTTTTTGAGCGTGATCATGGCTCCTCAACTAATTCCATCAAACCTAGGACTTTTCCGTTTCAAAAATCATGTGTAAATTTTTTATTTAATTTAGGAGGAAAACTAAATATAATGTAAAGTTTTAGATGTCAGTTGCATCTAAACAGCATCTTAAATCTTACTTTACACTTTTAATGGTCAAATCTTTATTTTTTTAGCGGCTTTTAGATATATATAGCACTCAAAACTTTCATGTTTACCTATCTCATACTTTTCAATAGAGACATCTTAATTTCGTTGCATTTGTGATTTTTGTGAAGTTTGTGATAAATTTTGAGTTGTCTTATCGCCAGCTTATCCAAAACTGTGTTTGGGTTTTTATACTAAACGCAGGCCGCGGGTCGACCCTCGCGGCCCCTTGCGGCCGGCCCGCGGGCCGCGTTTCAGGATAAACTGACAGTTTATCCTGACACGCACAAGCTGTCCCAAACAGACCTTAAACTTTCATAATTATAAATATCCTATAAAAAATATCACTAATTATCACATTTTTATAATCAAATACATATTTTCATCCCTAAGTGCTATGTACGTAAAAATGAAAGTTTAGGTGTGAGATAAGTAAATCCACAAGAATTTGGTGCTATGTATGCAATTTTCCTTTTTTTTTAGAGAGACTTGCATAAATACCACTCAATTCATATATATTTAGCTAGCTAGCACCTACACGTTAATTTCTCCTGGTCTGGAGTAGATCCAGCTTCCTTTGGCTTAACTAAGCTTACACGCTACATGATTACAGGGCATACCAGTTGTGGACACACTTCATATTAATATGGGCCGTGTATTCCTCATGCTTCACCCCACTGGAGTTTGGTTTTTTCCGCGGACTCCCTCGCAACCTTTTCTTCCTCGACATTGCTGGCCAGATTGCCTTCCTCGCCGACATCTTCATTCAGTTCCTTCTCGCTTACCGGGACTCCCGCACCTACCGCATGATCTACAGACCTACCTCCATTGCGCTCCGCTACTTCAAGTCCGGCTTTGTGCTAGACTTCCTCAGCTGCCTCCCTTGGGATCTCATCTATAAGGTATCTTAAATCTCGCTTTTCTTGGGCGCTTCTACATCAATCCACTCACAATGCCATTAATCTCGTTTGCTAGCTCTGTGGGAGGAAGGAAGAGGTGAGGTACCTGTTATGGATTCGATTGTGCCGAGTGAGAAAAGTGACGGGTTTCTTTCAAACGATGGAGAAGGACATTCGCATTAACTATTTGTTTACGAGGATAATGAAGCTCATTGTTGTGGAGCTGTATTGCACGCACACTGCTGCTTGCATATTCTACTACCTCGCCACAACTTTGCCGCAGTCTAAGGAAGGGTACACGTGGATTGGGAGTCTGAAGTTGGGCGACTACAGCTACCAAAGCTTTCGGGAAATAGCTTTCTGGAAACGCTATTTGACTTCTTTGTATTTCGCTATTGTGACCATGGCCACTGTCGGTATGTGTTAACCACACACACACACACACACACACACACACACACACACACACACACACACACATACTTACACAGACACACGGACACATGCTTTTAACAATGTGCTGAATTCTTAGTTCTTGTAAGCTCTTTGTTTTTGCTCGTTATGCTTGATTTTCATTGTTGTGCTGGAGTAGCTTACGATTTTCTATGCTTGAGGACCATGACGGAGAATGCCTGAGACCTTATTAGCGTTAATCGTCAAGCAGTGGTGTGCTTTAAGAACAGTATTGAGAAACTCATGGACAACTAGAGGCTTCATTCATGATGGCCATTTTCTTAGGCTGTGATGACGGAATAGTAATATCCAAGACATGTTTAACATACCTTAGATTGCTTATATCTCCAGTCCCGTTGTCCTTGTTTCATACAAAAAAGTTTAATAAGCATTCAATATTTTTTCTTTTTTTTATTTCAAATACCTGCGTAGTGGGGGGAATTTAATCAGGTGAAGGGAATTCTTGTTGGGAAGTGAACTTAATTGGTTGACGCATTGGGTCGTTTTGCAAAGTCGAAAGCCTAATTGAAAAAAAATTGGTTGTTGAATCATAACAGATGAGTATGGTTATAGAAAGTTTATGTAATCACCCGACAAGTATTATACCTCTCATGTATCGGTCACTCGGTTAGGTCATTGCCTTGGGTAGAGAATCTTGACGCAGCCTTCACGAGGATAATTGTCTAGGCTTGTTGCTCAGGTGATTCTTGTGCTACCTACCATTGATCTTGTTGCTAATGGGTAGGGAATCGTTGCTAGAGCTTAACCCGCTTTGAGCTAAGAGGCATGAGTTTTATTGATGTTTGAGTGTTGTAGGTCGGTTCTTGTCTGATTTACTGATCAGACATTTGCTTATTATTGTTTGTTATTTAGATAATTTTATTGATGGGATGTTATCCATTGATGTCGGTTTTGTGGCTTGGATAGAAACATTGACAATGGGTTGATTTGGGTTCCCCAACTGTAAGTATGATTTTTTTTATCCCTTGCATGAACTTTTCGAGCTCTCCTAGCGTCAGTCGGACATGGGATCGTATGTTCAATTAATAATACTTTTTTACTTAATCATATTTTATGTAATTGAGAATAAAATGCAAGGGTTGGAATGATAACACATTCTCATTGCCAAAATATAAAAAATTTTTATAAAGATAAAATTTCTTTAAAGTCATATCCACTCCACATCCATGTCTGAGAGATTTCTTTCCGTGCGTAGGTTTTCAACTAGTATGCCATGGAGTCGACATGTTTATCGATAATGAATTGCCCAGTTCATGAATGGCCGAGCTTTCTCATCTCGCGCGGCTTAACACGAGGTCTTTGACGATGAAAGTTTTCTCTCGAATGTGCTTGCTATAGTAGTGAGTTATCCGTCTCTTCACTTATTCCTGTTGAAAGGCTAAGTTGGCTCATTTCTCCTCACGAAGATTAAGAACAAGCATTATTCCTTTGTCATTTTCATCCTGTCATTCAACTAATTCTGCTTCGTCAATTGTTGAGGCTGTCACCACTCTTTGGCTGTGATTGTTATATGCAACTAATAGCATCGCTCCCATCCCGGGGGACTACATGAATAGAGTTTATCTGGTCGTCCTAGAAAGTGTCGTTTGAGCCGCCCAAAGGACAAAAAAAAGTTATCAACTCAGTTTCCTTTAGCTCCTTCAACTTTCTTCCATAATAGGTTCATAATGATCTTATTGGTTGTTTTGGCTTACCTTTTTGTTCGTGGATGATGAACCGATATGAATTTCAGACTAATCCTTTGGCTTTGGTAAAAATCTTTCATCCCCTGGTCGACTAATTGTGTTATATTGTCTGTGATAATTACGAGCGGTAGCCTATACCGATAGATTAGATCAGTTTGGATGAACTTTTGAACGACCTATGCGGTTCTTTGAGCGAGCGCCTTAACCTCGATCCACCTAGAAATGTGATATGAGGGGTAGTTGTCATTCGGACAAGTGGTGTTCAAGTTAGTGAAGTCCACACACATCCTCCATTTGCCATTCAACTTTTGACAAAGTTGGACCCCTATGTCGGATATTGAACCTCTCAGATATACTCAGTCTCTAGCAGTTTGCAGACCTCCCAGATCGAAATGACCCTGATGTCCTTATCTTCTGCTTCATTGGTTGGGCTGTTGGGGTAGCATTCAGTCTTATGAGGGGTAGTTGTCATTCAGGCAAGTGGTGTTCAAGTTGGTGAAGTCCACACACATCCTCCATTTGCCATTCAACTTTTGACAAAGTTGGACCCCTATGTCGGATATTGGACCTCTCAGATGTATTCAGTCTCCAGCAGTTTCCAGACCTCCCAGATCGAAACGGCCCTGATGTCCTTATCTTCTGCTTCATTGGTTGGGCTGCTGGGTTGACATTAAGTCGGTGACAGACGACATCAATCAATATCCCAGGCATCTCAATGACAGAACAAACAAAAATGTCTCGGTGGTCCCGGAGGGTGCGATCAGCACATCTCATTTATCAGAAAATATTTACTAGTGTCGATAGGTGATCTCGCTGGTCTTGAGATCCCCTTCTCATAGATTGTCGAGCTCTAAAGGCTCCTGCTCGACGCTTCTGATTGCCTGGAGGTAACAAATGCGGGAGTGCTTAAGGTCGTCGCGAATGGTTATTACCTCCCCGTCTTCTAGGAACTTCATAGCTGCAAGATAGATTGAGGTGACGACCTTCAAGGAGTTAAACGGGGGGCAACCAAAGATGGCATTGTAGGTAGGTGGCGAGTCGACAACTTGGAAGTCCTCCATGTTAGTGAATTGTTTTTCCTTTTCACCCTAGGTGACTGACAAAGCGATGATTCTTAGCTCTTCTTCTCTCTAGAAAAACCAAATATCGGGCAGGTTGTCGTTGTCAGTCGGTCCTTGTTGTCAGTCGGTCCTTGCTGAGACTCATCTTATCGAATACTGACTTGAACAAGATGTTTACAGAGTTGTCAGTGGAGATATGAATTCTATTAATTTTATAGCTATCAAATAATGTGGTGACGATGATAGCGTCATTGTATGGAGTACCTCTAGGTGGAAAATCATCATTGGTGAAGGTTATGGGGAGATACAAGCTGTGTTTTGGAGTGAGGGTGGTTGTGCATAGTTCTCCCGACCAAAGACTCTTCAGGTTGGCAAATATTATGCCATCGATGTGTCGGATTGACTTGTCTGATATTTATCCAGTGGAGCTTTCCCTTGTCTTCTGGTCTTTGCTTCTGAAGCCACAAACTTCTTAACTTTCCCGGCCTTGATTTGTTCTTTAATCAAGCCTTAGAGGTGCCGACAGTCCTCTGTATTATGTTCATGCTCCCAGTGGTAGGCACAATACTTCTTGGGGTCCCAGAGATAAGCTTTTATCTTCATCCAAGATGTTCTCTTTAAGTAATCTTTATTTTGACTAGCCTCCACGATCTCAGTCATCGAAACTCTTAACAGAGTTGTCTTGGGTACTTCATGGTTAAGCAGCGGGCACTCATGAGCCGACCGCTGATCAGGACATTGAGCCTGACTCCCTAAGTGATTTATTATGTCTATCGTTGTGTAGTCCCTATGCTGTCAAGCATCTTCATAGTGAGGACGAGCAGAAGGACACGAATCATGCCTTGGTCTCTAATCCTTGCCTTGGGGAGCCCTTTTCTGCGGGTGACGAGTAAAGGACTATATTCTGGAGGAAACAGGATTGGAGTTATACTCCTCAACTTATATGTGGTTGGTGTTCAGCTCTAACAACTTGGTTAATGTCTTCGATCGCTGCAAACCCAATGGATACCTCAAGGCTCTTTCCTTCAGCCCTTGAGCTAGAGCAGCATGAGCTACTGCATGCTCAGGTCCCACACATCCAACATCTCCTTCTGGAAGCGTGTTATAAACGAGCAAAGGCTCTCGCTCAGTCTTTATCGAATCTGCATGAGGCTTTTGTGCCCCGGAAAGTTATGTCATAAACATTTGTTCGGAATCAGCGAGCAATGTGATTACCATCAGCTACAATGTGTTAAACCACCTGAGGGTTGACTCTCTCAATGTTGTAAAGAATAGATGATATTTTAGTTTGTTGGTGATTCTCATTAAACACACAATCGAGTCAAATAATGTTATGTGATTGATTGGATAGTTCTCTCCATTTAGGACTCTAATGTTGAGATTTTTAACCTCTTTAGAATTCTCAACTGTATAGATTTATTGGGCCGTCTCAGTACGCTTGAATCTAATTCGGTTGATCGGTGCTGACCACCCACACTATAGAAGTACTGGGAATCGCCTTCTCCTTTCAGGGCCAATGCGACTCTTCGGTCGTTGAGCATCGACTTTTCCTCTTCGGGGTGTTGCTCTCTTTCCTGAGCTATCACTTCTCGGATGGCATTTAACATTTGATTCTTCAACTATTGAATCTACTGATTCATCATATTGTCAATGCCTCTATTGGAGTTTTCTTCTTTGTGAGTTGCTATTCTTCTTATTTATGACATGGTCCACGCTCACCACACTTTTTAGGATATTGAATCCTGATTTGCGCATGAATCATATCCAATAAATATAGTGTAAGGAGAGAGAAAGAGACGGGGAGGTGATTGAATAGTTATGAACATTAAAATATCATATTGACCTCCTTTGTTTATAAAATTCTCTCGCTATTTATAAAGGAGATGATGAAATATATGATATTATATTTTTTGCCTCTATTTTAAAGGGCTTTGTATTATTAGGATATTTTTGGTATTTTACATGTAATAGTATATCGCTCGACCGCTCTCTGGCTCGATAGGTTGAGCTTCATTGTCTTTGGGTTGGTAGGATCTGCTCGGTTGGCTAGGCTTGGTCGATGTTGGTGGTCGGCTAATCTAGTTTAAATATCGATCCTTGATAATAAATGAGGGATTTTTGGATGCCCCTGATATGATTGGAGATGTTAAGAGATTGGGTCTTCTTCCGAATCACCTTCTTCGTAGTGGTTGGCTCGAATGCGTCTTTGTGTCGTTTTTCACTGATTGGTTTAGGCTCAAATCATTCGATCGATTTTTTGCTCTTCTCGTAGCTTGGTGAACTTTGGCCTTTCTAACTTTGGCTCGAGCGATTAACTTCGGTTGGATAAGTGAGCATCATGTTGTTCTATCAGTGGACCCTCCCTCATCATACTATTTTCCTCTGGATCGTTAAATCTCAGATTAGCGCTTGCACATTTTTGATGCTCAAAGTAGAACAATGACATAAGGAATACTTTAATGTTCATAACTTGGAGTTCAAACTGAGAATTGTGGTTAGGCTAAGTTATTCTTTAATTTATGATCATGATCAACATAAATAACCGATTAAAAATAAATGAGTAAAAGTAGCTTTTGAGAGCATCTACAAACCAAATTGTGGATTTTCTAGTCGAATGTCACTGACGTGGAGTTAGAATCTTTCAAATCGAAGAGTTAGGGCTGCAAAAAGATTCGAGCCATGTTGGTGCTTGTTCGAGTTTGGGCTCATTTAATAAGTGCTTCATTAAGTTTAGCTCATGCTCGATTCAAACTTTTAAGACTGTTTGAGCTCCGAATTGTTTAGAAATACTTTGTTCAAGCTTATCTCAAGCTCGGCTGATTAAGGGATTATCAAACTTATTAACGAGTATCTCGTTTATTAAAATAGACAAGCCATAATTTAGTTTTAATTAAGCATTAATCGAGCCTTACTCAAGCTTTATATTAGTGGTTTGTTGGGAAAATAAATGACCCATATCAAACAATGCTCGTTGAACCTGAAAATAAACATTTAAACGATATAATTTATGAACAAGTTATAATCAAGTTGTAATCGAGCTTACTCAAGAGTTTTTTCGTGAACTTCGAATGGTACTATTTTTGTACATAAATGAATCAAATAAGTTGTTCAAATTTATTCATTTATTAATCGAATATTTGTGAAAGTGTTTAAGTTTGTTTGATTTCTCAAGATCTTGAATCGGTTTTAACCGAGTCAAGCCACAAGTAATTTGCCAAACACTCGGTTCATTTGTAGCCCTAGAAAAAAATAATAAGATGAAAATAAAACAAAAAAAATAAAACTAACAGGTAATGACACAAAATGCTTGAATTGACAAATTGCATGGTGTCCGAAATAAAAGTAGTGAATTGTTGCAGATAAAAAAAGGAACAGACCAGGATGTGTAATATATTAAATATTACGAAAAAATCACGTAAGTGTGAAGGAAGTCTGTTGAAGTTGCATTTGCAATTTCCTGAATGATTTCTTCACAAGTTCATGTAAATTTTCGTGGGAGACTAAGAGGCTGTAGCACTCCGTTTTAGAAGACTAAGAGGCTGTAGCTCTCCGTTTTAGAAAGTGAACGCTGTCATATCATAGTTATGTTTTGATGTCACGTTTTGCTAACGGTGTAAAATGACTCCATGCTTCCCTTGTTCATGTCATAATTGAAACTAGAATCAAGTGGAGCCATTTCTAGAAGCTATTTTCTTCAAAAAATTGCTCTGATTAATAATTTAATAGATTTACCCCAAAATCTTATTTTTCCTTATTTATAGAATACCATTAGTGAGAATTTATTGATGGACAAGTTATGCTTATCAGAATTTACCCACTAACAGCTTGAAATGATGAATGGTTCCCCTTGGAATTAATCAAGTTTTCCCTGCTCTAGTCCTTAAGATTTTACAGTTTACACCAAGAAAACAATCATGAGAGCATAATTTATTTTGTGACAAATTGAAGATGCTAAAATATTATTGTGTCTATAACAATGGTTGGAGGGTCAAGAATTGACAGAAACCAGCTTAATGAAAAAGAACTGGTGTTTTGTTACTCTTGGCAGTATTTAACGTGCTTTAAAACCTTCTACTGTTGTTGCTAAATTTTTTTTTCTGTTGATTTTTTCAGTTTTTATTATGCTTGATGTTTAATTCCTGTTTCTGTTATTATGGTAAGATTATCTGATTTGATCATTATTTCACACAGGTTATGGTGATATACATGCAGTTAATATCAGGGAAATGGTCTTCATCATGATCTATGTCTCGTTTGACATGATTCTTGGGGCTTACTTGGTTGGTAACATGACTGCACTGATTGTGAAAGGATCGAAGACAGAAAGGTTTAGGGACAAAATGACAGATCTTATTAAATATATGAATAGGAACAGACTTGAAAAGGGCATCCGTGATCAAATTAAAGGTCATGTTCGATTACAATATGAGAGTAGCTATACAGAAGCTTCTGTTCTTCAGGATATTCCAGTTTCGATTCGTGCTAAGGTGATAGGATGATATTGGTTGCTTACTTTAAGTCCCGGATTGCCATGCATATTTGTGTGCTGACTGGCCCTCCTACATTTAAATGTAATGATTCTTGATTTCCCATTAAATTCTTAGATATAAAAACTAGGTTCATTTTTATAAACCTTTGATAAGCTTCATCTTCCCACTTTGTATAACTCTTTGATATTTAATTTAACCATTACAAGTTCGTTTAATAGGCTTTTTGCTTGTTTTTCTTTTACTATTAAAGGTTGCCCAGCGCATGCTTTACTTTTTTTCATTTATTTGCTTGGTCTAAAATTTTCTTGATTATCTTGATGTGATTTACCAAACACTTGACGAGATGATGCTGTTTCAGATTTCAGAAAGCTTATACAAGCCATATATTGAAAAGATTGAACTTTTTAAGGGATGCTCTTCAGAGTTTATTCATCAAATTGTAAGTTTCTTCACTCCATTGTGGTTGAATTTTACAAGATTACTTGATATCATGTCCATTCGTATCTTGGAATATGTTAAACTATCCTGTTGTCTTAAAAAATAAGTAAAATAAGCTTTTGTTTCTTCCTTATTTAACTTAATTTTTTCATTGTCTAGCCTACAATGTCCAACATAATTTTTGCTCCAAATGGCTTCGTATTAACGTTCCTTCACTGGAAGGAGATTTTGCATTGCAGTAGACAGTTTTCTTTTTCCTTAATTTGAAGATTATTATCAGAAATATAAATTTATAATTGTCTGAATATGGAACAGTTAGTTTGTATTTTTCCCGCGTTTACTTATTTCTCTAGTACAAACTCCATGTACACGCCCAGCGAATTCATTTCATATGCTGCATCAAAACTTATATAATTGTTGATATCTTATAGGTAACTGGAAGTCGCTTTTATATGTTTAACGTAAGAATATTTTGGAATCTGTTATGAAATCTATATATCTGAAGTGTTCCAATCGCATTAGATTATTGCGGTCAAGGAGATGATTAAGTGGATGCATCTTTCAGCAATGCTCAGGCAATGACTGTATGTTGTTAAATGACTTACTTTTGTTGCCAGAACTCAAATGCAAATAATACTTTCATTTAGTTCACTAATTTTAACCAATCATCATCCTCAAAATCAATATTCTTATATCAGCCAAAATTAATGATCAATTCATATACAATACTTTTTTCCTTATTTTGCGAACTCTTGGCAGTACTTGAGTACATAGAATTGCTTGAGCATGGTTCAGAGCAGTTAAGTTGCAATGATTCCTAAATCAGAAATCTTCTCCTATCTTCACATTTAATGATTTTATTTCTATCTTATGTGATGAACATGTGATTTTTTTTTTCCCATCTGTGTAATGTTGGCCCATTTAGCTTAGTTGAGCTTATCTGGTTTGCACTAGTTTTTTTTTTTTTGTTTTTTGCAGCTTTTACTCCCATATCTTTATTCAACCGGAATGCTTTCAAAAAGTTTCTTAATATACTTGTGTATTATAGGTAATTAGACTACAAGAAGAGTTTTTTCTTCCAGGGGAAGTGATCTTGGAGCAGGGCACTGCAGTAGATCAACTTTATTTTGTGTGCCATGGATTGCTGGTGCGGCTTTGCATATTCATACCTAATTTTATTAAAACCTATCATAGTGGAGTTGCCATATTTTTTTCCTATTTCAATCTTAAATCTGCCAGGCTTTTTAATGACGTAATTTGCTAAAAGTTTATTTGTATTATGATTTTTCCTGAAATTAATTGAAGATTATGTCCGCAGGAAGGTGTTGGGATAGGTGAAGATGGAACAGAAGAGACCTTCTCACGATTTGGTCTTAATAGTTCTTTTGGAGAGATTGCCATTCTTTGCAATTTACCTCAGCCTTTTACCGTTCGTGTTTGTGATCTATGCAGACTTCTGCAACTCGATAAGCAAAGTTTTACAAATATCCTAGAAATATTTTTTGTTGATGCAAGGACAGTATTAAGAAACCTTCTTGAGGTATATCTTCACCACAACATTAAGAAGTCATGTTTCTTTGATAGTTCATAATATTGATTATTACCATTAGGAAATCATGTGGATAGAAAATTCTTGCTGTTAAAGAAGATTGTGATTTAATGCAAATAATGTTTTGTGCTTTAATTTCTAGGATGGTGCAAATAGAACTTGGATCAAGCAATTAGAGTCAGATATCACACTGCATATTGGAAGGCAGGAGTCAGAGCTTGCTCTCAAAGTAAATAGTGCTGCTTCTGATGGAGACTTGCTTCACCTCAAGGGTTTGATTCGTGCAGGTGCGGACCCGAAGAAGACTGATTATGATGGGCGCTCTCCATTGGTTAGTATTTTATGGTTAGTATTTTATGATGTGATATGCAAATATATACTGAGATTGTGCGGGTAGTGATGTATTGAATAGTTCTCAATTTGAACAAAAGCATTGAATAATTTTTCATGATTAACACCTTATCTGACTTTTTATCCCTAATTTTTTTTCAGCATATTGCAGCGTCACGAGGACATGTGGATATAGTTGGGTTTCTTATTCAAGAGGGTGTTGATATTAATGCTACTGGTACATCTCTCAGATTTATCCTTTTCACATAAACTTCAGTGTTCCTTGATAATGTGTAAAAATTATGCTAATTGGAGTTTCTCATTGTTTGCGTGTGGTCTAATGAATTCACACACTTAAAGACAAGTATGGGAGCACACCATTGTTGGAGGCAATCAAGGGAAAACATGATTCAGTGGTTTCTTTACTCTTTAATAAAGGAGCAAAACTAGCTCTCGATGATGCCGGTAGTCAGCTTTGTGAAGCTGTTTCAAGAGGGGATTCAGGCTTTCTGAAGAGGGTATTGTCTTGTGGAGTTGATCCAAATTCAAGAGACTATGACCACCGTACACCACTACACATTGCTGCTTGCGAGGGATTATATTCAATGGCCGAGGTGCTTCTAGAAGCTGGGGCAAGTGTTTTTACTGCAGACAGGTATTTAGGCGGTGTCATAAAAATTTTACATTTTTGGATTTCTTTTTTATTTCAAGAAGTTAATTTGTTAGAATTTAGTGATTTGATCGTATTTAAATCCACTTTTGAATATTGCCGCAATATCAAGTGAAAATGTTAAAGAAGAAAAAATTTTTAGAAGATAAACATCTTTGAATTTGTAACAACAAGACTGAGTTGTGAATTTTGGCGGTGTCATATTAACAATTTTCAATCAATAATATTAAATGATAAAGTAATACTCAAGTTTGATAGATCAAAGTATTTTGGAATAATTATACACAAAATAGGGCTATTATATATCTTCTAAAACTGAATGAAGTTTTTTTGTGAGTATTATGCGATTAGAGAATATTATTGTAACTTAAATGTAGTTTAATAAAGATAAAAATTAAACCAAAGATGTTAAATGGATCAGCCCACCAGGCAACAAAAATTTTATTTAAAGTTTAATGTAGTGTAAATATGGATGCGTGATAATATTAGGAAGTATGGTTTATAATTGCACAATATGAGACCCTCAATGTTTTTCTTTAAAAATTCATAATGAGTAACTGTACGAAGCTTTTCAAGGCCTTAGTTCTGGTGAAGCGTACGCAATTAGATTTCGGGTCTTCCTTAAAATTGATAAAAGTAAAATAATTTTAATAAACACTCTTTATTTATTTATATAATATACAATCAATAATTATTTGAAGTTATTTTGCCATCATATTCATTGTTTTAAAATTTAATAAATATTCTTATTAATTAATATTGATTAAATAGGAGAAAAATAATTGAGATTTAAAGTGAGAAGGAATGAAAAAACATGGATGCAATTGAGGACGAGTTGAAGGAAAAAAAATCATTATGCTGATGATCCTATTGAAAACTCATTAAGTGATAACACTGTTGAGGAATTTTGAATTCAAAAATTCTAATCTTCATGTTTGTTTTATTCTTACTTTAATGGATAATAGTAGAAGTGTGAAAGAGACTAAATTGTATCAAACTTATTTCTTTGATGTTTGTGCAGTCCTCCTTGTTTTATAATTTGATGTTTAAATGCTGATTGTTATTTTTTTACTTTGAACAATTTACTACTTTAATCATATTAGGATGTTAATATGTAACATTTATACCTATTAATAGGTTATGTTAATATGTTACCAATTAGTACTTACTTTAAACTTTGTATAAACTTTTTGCTTAGTGTAATTTGTTGATTTTGTGGCTTACGCCTCGACACACGAAAAAAAAAAAGTTATAAATATTTAATTGCACATTTTTTAATTTTGTTAGGATGGATAATTGATGGAATGTTTATATTAAAGGTATTATTGGAGTGACATCTATTGATGATAAAGTTGATAAAAATAATTTTGATGTTATGGAAATTTATTAAAATAAGTATAGAGAATGCACCCACTTGATATGTAGATAAAATAAATGTTGTAGATTTAACAAGAAAATTGGTTGACTTAGGGTAAGTTGATAGAATTTTCTTATAGAATTTGTGAGAAATAGTTTTAAAACTTAAGACGACATCTAATAAAGGCAAATATGTATTGAGGGTTCATAAAGTTGATCCCGAATTGTTGGAATAAAGCTAAAGATGTTGACGATGATGATGATTACACCTATTGAACTAATTTGATATGCATCCTATTAACTATTTTTCCACTCCATATGCTAAAAGCCTAGAATCGTATAGACTGTTATAGAAGGTTTTTCTTCTTAGAACTGATTGTTTAAAATTTATTGTGAGCCCTAATATGGGCTGGGCTATTTCTGCAGACTAAGTTAAATTAACTGATAGCTAGATTTATGCAAGCCGCCTTAAGCCTGGTGGATGAGAACTTTGTCTTTCAATAATGAGCTCCTGGGTTTAGAGACTTGCATATGCGGTGTGCGTTCGCGTTCATTTTATTGTGTCTGACTTTATTGTGTCTGACAAAAAAAAAAAAAGAACTGATTGCTATTTACAATACATGCATCTGCTTGGAATTTCACGATGACAAAATGTTACTAAAGGCTCACGCATTTCTATCTTTCAAGAGCGTCAGCTTTCTGTATTTTGTCTATTTTATGAAATAATCTAATCATTTATTGTATTTTGCTAACAAAACTTAGATGGGGCACAACTCCTCTAGATGAAGCACGGAAGAGAGGGAGTTCATCATTTATAAAGTTATTTGAAAAGGCAAAATCTGAAGAACTGTTAAAATTTCCTGATCGATCTTTGGATGTTAGAGGTATAGAAACTTTTATTTTTTGCATGCACATTATCTTCTGTCCTCTAAGAACAATGCTATTGCAAAGAACAATGTTCTAATAAAATATTCTAATCCTAATTCTCCATAGGCCACATTATGCTTAAATCTTTCACTAGTTCTACGCCTGCATATGACTTGCTACCATTATTAATTTTAACGATCAAGTGCTTGAATGTTGGGAACATTTTCATTGCAGCAAAACATAATTTGGTGCCTGGCCTATAATTTAACTGACATCTTATCGTAACAAGTTTTCTTGTCATGTTGAGAATGAAAACGGGTCGTGATATTGTTCAATGTTCAATATGGGCAGCACTGTTTTTCATTTGTCGAGGAATTAATAACAGGAAAACCTTCCAATTTCAAAAAGTATTTTGTGGTTGCTTTGCAGACAAAATACATCGCGGAAGATGCACAATATTCCCTTTCCATCCATGGTGTCCGGCGGATGAAAGAAGAGAAGGCGTGGTGATGTGGATTCCTCAGACAATGAAAGAGCTCATTAAATCTGCAGAGCAGGAGTTTAAATGCTCGGGTTCATGCATATTGTCAGAGGAGGGAGGCAAGATTTTTGATGTGGACCTGATCTTTGATGGTCAAAGATTGTATATGCCTGCGAATGCTGACCTTAAAAACATCAAGTGATTTGCAGATGGCTTCTTGTCTATATATTTGGACCTCCCGAGCATACTGAGTTGAGCTACATGTGGATAATACGAGCACACAAGTACATTTCCACCGTATATCAAGGTACACTGTTGTGTATTTTGGTACATCCGCTTGTAGTCCGCTTGTAGCTCTGTTTGCGGTGTCCGAAGATAATAATTTCTCATGAGAAAAGTATAAAAATAGTATTATTAATCTTTGCATGCAGTTATCTTATAGTCTCAAAGTATATAAAAGTAACAATTTAATCCTCATACTCTTTTAATATGAGCTGAAATAGTATTCTTTGTGGATTATTTCAGCCCAATTTAAATAGTTTGATGATTAATTTGGCACTTTTATAGACTCTGGACTAAAATGATCCTCGCAAATAGTCAAGCGATTATTTTGGAACATGGAATGAGAGCCCATTATAGTATTTTAAGTAATCTTGTTTATGTATTTTGTTGTAGAATTTTAGCCTCTTTTGAAATTTTAGGAGAAAATTGTGATCCGGGTGCTATTTTGTTGTAGAATTTTAGCCTCTTTTGAAATTTTGATCCGGGTGCGTGATCCGGGTGCTTTCATCCACGGTGTAGGCTCCTTTTCTTATGCAGTGTTATGAACTAGTGTTAATGAAGGTGCTGTATCTTAGACATAGATTATACTCCATTGTTATGGTAGAAATATGATCCAATAAAATGTTTTAAACAGTTGAGTTTGCGTAGCTTTAAAATTATCAATCAACATCAAAATTAATCATAAAAGAGCCTACCATATTTTTCATTTTTATGAAATTCACGAAGATTTAAATGTGGCACGAGTAAATGCATCTGCCTAAAATGACACATCGTGTTAGATATTGTAAATAATAATATTTTGAGTGCTTTGCATACAATTTTTTCTTTTTAAAAATATTCAAAACATGTAAAAAGTGTTTCAAAGTTGTCTTTAGTAGTTTTTGAATATTTTATATTTACTACTCCCCTCATTCATCATTGATTTTTGGATTTACATTCTAGCTCTTAATCGCATGCTGCCGCAGTTAATCACTATCTTCACAAACCAAACCATTCAACTTGTGATCCACTCCACCTTGACCTCATTTTATCACAACAAATAGCCCCAATTTTTTGCATCTTAATTAAGTTAAAATCCCTCTCCCTCTCTCACATTCTAATTCTTTACCACAGCCCCTCCAACCCTAGTGCAAGGTACAAAATATAACTCGATTTTGAATGGGTTGATGGGTTGTAACACTTTGAAGATGATCAAAAAGATTATTTGAAGGGGTAGAATTGTTTCATATAATATAATGTATTTTGCCTATCATGTTGCATAATGACTAATTAATGAGCTCACGAATCAAACTTATAAAATCACAAGCTTGAGTTTGCACTCAAACACAAATTGCTACTCATATGTTATATGACCTCAAGGCCAAACTTTATGATACTTAAATCACTAGTTTGTCGAGCGGCTTATTTAAAAAATATGTAATCCAAAATTATTTTTTTTCCTATTTTATGATAATCGTGCATACAATAAATCCAAGCATCGAGTGGATTTTACTTAAATATGAACTCATACAAATTCTTATCTTTCATCAAATGCCATTGATCACTTCAATTCCTTCTTTAATGAGCTCCTGTTGTGACTTATTGGCCTCATAGTTGTGTCCTCTAACAAGTTTGCATGATGACTTCCTAGTCTCATCAATGTCTTTCCTACAAAGCTCTCACCGTAACTTCCTCAACATTGTTGATGTCCTCTCTATCAACCTCCCATCAAAACGATCTAGGCTTCAATGCTTTCTCTATAGAGCTTCCATAGAAATATCTTTCCCATAGTAAGTTTGTATTGTTGGGAGTTTTAAAATTTTAGAGGATGAAACTCAAGTGCATGTGTTGAGCAGAAATCTCTTATTGATTCAAAGTGTTGAATTCTAATTCACTATATGAGCTTGAGCTCAAGTTTAAACCAATTGATTTAGGCTTCAATTAGCTATGACCCGAGTCCGACTATTAGCAATAAAGATAGCCAATTATTCTGATAGAATATTTTTATAAGTTTCTTATTGAAGTATTTTTGGAAAAATCTAAACAATAAAGGTCATCTCTTCTCTTTATATTGATAGTAGTGACAGGTTATTTGGAAAAATTTAATGAAGTTTATGTGAGTTCAAGCATATCAAGCTAGAGCTTGTATGGGTTTGAACTAATCTTTGTTGACCTTTAGCTACGAAATTTGAATCAACAAAAAAGTATTAAATCTAAAGCTTTTTTCTCTATAAACTTAATTTGATTTTTAAACAGAAATCTCTTTCACTATCATGATCAAATTCTAGCAAGCAATTAACATAATGTTGGAATTTAATTTTGATAGTTTTTCTTAATTCAATAAGAATGTGAAATCACTTGTTTGACATTATAAAATACCTAAATACGAGGGTGGTTGGATAAGGTTTATGAAAAAATAAGCTTTCAATAGAAACCTTAATTTCAAAATATAATTATAATAGGAATAAGGCACATTCTAGTATCATAATTATATAGTTATTAAAGCCCTAAGTTCAAGTTCAAAGTACAGGAACTCCTCAAACACGTGATTTGATTAGATATTTCAAGTATATTCAAGAAAAGTACAACTTGACAGGACAACCTAACAATTTCACAGCTTAACTCCATTGACTCAGCTTTACATAACACCGAATATTAGCTCAATCATTTTGTTTGGGAATTGACCTAATCCTAGCTTGGCGAGTTAAGTTTGCAAGTCAAGGCAATTCCATCAACTCATCCTATATTTATTACAACATCGTCGTCTTATATGACGCGTTGTACATACAACTACATAATAAAATTATTTTGATGTATTTTTCTCTTTCAGCACAGTCACTTATGTATCTAATCTTGGGTGGAGCAAACCCAAACCTATAAATAAGGAAAGTCATTTGTGGAGTAGGGGATATTTTTCTCTCTTGACTCCTCAAGTACACGAATTTATATTAAACTCTTGTCGTTTCTTCTCTACTTTAACTACACATCTGACTTCTATAAAAAATCCATACCTAGGTGATGTGATACTACTAACAATTTAAGATTCAATAATATATGACCAAAAATTGGTCTGATAAATTATACATGAAATGGAGATTAGACTTGCTATGTATGTTGGAAGATGCTCCCATTAAATCCCATATGAAAGTATTTGAATTCCATATCATCAAGCTTGTTAATGTGTTGATTTTGTTTGGAAGCATATATGGAGATTAGACTTGCTATGTATGTTGGAAGATGCTAGCATTAAATCTCATATGAAGTATTTGAATTCCATTTCATCAAGCTTTTTAATGTGTTGATTTTGTTTGGAAGCATATAATTACTCCTCTGCATTTAATTCTTAATGTATGTCATGTCTTAATGAAATGCAAGTTCTTAATTACTAAATGTTTCCAAACAATAATCAAAATGGTGGAATTCATCAAATATATGGCCATAATCAGATAAAATGTTTTATGAGTATTTACATACATACCACCCAATTCTTATATATTTACATATCTATCATCTTAACTTTGTTTTTTTGATACTTATACCACCCAAATCTTTCATATCATAGACAAAAACATCACTAATTTAACTTCTAAAGGGTAAAATACACCTTTTCAAGCATTGGTAAGGTGGTACATATATGTATAAAAATTGAAGTTTAGGTGATAGAGTTCACTTTACATGGTTATGCCCTTAGAGATGAAAGTAAAAGAGAAAATTGAAGTTTAGGTGATAGAGTTCACTTTACATAGTTATGCCCTTAGAGAATAGACATTGTGGGCAATTTAATTTGCTTTAGATTTTGATCTTTAGAAAAAAGTTTTAATTTTGTTTGCTTTTTCATGTTAAATTAATAATAATAATAATAATTTTTCAGCTATATATAATTTTTCTTGATCTATTACTTGGGCCTAATTTCCAATTAGTGTCTTAACATCCATCCAATTTTCTCCTTCTTTTTCCCTAATTTGACTCCTTAAATTTTTCCTTCTATCAAGTTGTCATTTAAGATGATGATGTGGTGATGTCTAGGAAAGTACATAGGTAGATGGATGTTACAATTAATTAATGATACACTATTTATGCAATTAATAATGTTACCATGTTCATAAATTGTAATCTTTGTCAATGATGAATGAATTGATCTACCTTTCCTTTTTCTTATTGTTGAGTAGATCTTGACTTTTCCCATATAATTTTAACTCATTATAATATTATGTTACCCAAATTCTCCTATTTCATAAGTCTCCTAACAAATAAATGGATGAAAAAAAAAATGGATGAAATAAAAAAAAAATATTTCATAAGTCTCCTAACAAATAAATGGATGAAATAAAAATAAAAATAAAAATAACTGAAAATTCAGTAACTTGTTTGAGAAGGACTGATATAACTTTGAAATATACATAACTAAAAGTACATAATGATCAGCTAAAGAACTATTTAACTTTATCCTGCAGAACTAATCATCAAAGTTAACCACTTACAAGCTTTCAAACACTATAATAACAGCAATTAATATTTTTAATTATTTTTTGATGATCGTAACTTGTTTGAGAAGGACTGATATAACTTTGAAATATACATAACTAAAAGTACATAATGATCAGCTAAAGAACTATTTAACTTTATCCTGCAGAACTAATCATCAAAGATAACCATTTACAAGCTTTCAAACACTATAATAACAGTAATTAATATTTTTAATTATTATTTAATGATATGCAGCATGATTCCATGAAAATAATAGCAAATTGCAATGCTTGCCAACCCATCCCACTCAAAATTTACACTTCTGTAAGTTAAATTACAGTAAGTACTGCTAAATTTATCATTCTAGTTAGCACCATGGATTGAACTTTTCTATTGTGTAACATCCAATGATTTCCTTAAAAATAATACACAAAATGGCATAATTAAACATCAAAACATTATTTTTAGGAAAGAAAACTACAAAAGCAGATTATTCTTTCAAAGTCATGCTTGATATATGCATCACAAACTTAACAATACAAGAAATATTAAACTCATGAAGCGCAAATGGAACTACATCACCATCAGCTAGAACTTGAGAGCATGAAGGCTTTCATGGAAGTGCTTCTGAGCAGCTATGTTGCTTGCTCTAGCTTTCTGATCATCTGCTGCATCCTTTTTCTCTTCAAGCTGATCAGATTTTGTTTCAGAACTGAGAAGACAAGTGAGAAAGCTCCTCAAGAAGGGAAAGTTGCTGAGGAAGTCAGTCCACTCCATGGCTTCTGAAAGTCTTGGGAGGAATAGTTTTTTATTCTTTGCAAAGAAGGAAATGTTGTGCTGTTTTGTAGAAGGGAAAAAATATGTGGACAAGTGGGTTAGTGCCTGTTGCACTTCCAAAATCATTTTTGATTCACAACAAGCGCCACAAAGTGCATGTATATGTTTCATTCGTTAATATCGAGAAAAGTGTTAAAGTAGTCTGTCGA